GAGTAGTCCAAAATCTTTATTAACTGGTCTGTGTCAACATCATTTATCGATGTGGGATATATATCCCTTAACACGCCCCCACAAGATGGTGGCTCATTTGAGCAAACCAACCTTGAAATCCACGTGCTCACTTTTGGAGTCTTAACGAGATCGAATAGCTCGTTAGAGCATAATGGGCTCTGATACCAAGTTAAGATTTGGGGGTCCATCTTAAAAGGTCAACCTTATTAAGAGTAGTCCAAGATCTTTATTAACTGGTCTGTGTCAACATCATTTATCGATGTGGGATATATATCCCTTAACATGTTCTGTGTTGCAGCAGAAAGGAGGAAATCGTTTTGGGCATTTCCCGTGTTTTCCATTTTCAGCTACATTTGTGAAGAAAACGTGGAAAACGGCTTTTTGGCCGTTTTTTGTTTTCTTCACAATTTTTTTTTCCGTTTTCGAAAATGACGAAGAGAACGTGTTTTCGCCGTTTTGAAAAATCGAAAACAGAAAACGGCTTGAAAACGGCAAAGAGAACGCCACCTTGGTGACCCTAGTGTTTTTAACCTGTTAAGTTTTATACTAGAAACTAGAAAGTCAAGCCTGGTAGCATCCTTGCTTGAAATGCTCTCGTGTTGGGCACAGGTAAAAAACACTGCCAGTCACCCAACCTTTAGTGAAGTTTCATGTAAGTGACTCACCTTGATGTTGCTTAAGTTTGATCACTGAAGTTCTCTTTTCGTTTCAATTAAATCATTCTGTTACCATCCATCCATAAAATTAAGGTTCTGCCTGGTTGTAAAAATGAAACATTGTATTCTTGCAATAAGAAGAGAAAGTAAACACTTAAAAATTTCCTAACTTATTTTTATTGGCAATTCGTATTCTGTAGTAGGGAACTCAATATCTTTGAAATTAATTGCAGGTGGCATCAAGCATGTGGGCAGTGGTTTGGTTCTGTGAAAAGACTAAAAAAGAATAGATTTTGTATTTTGTTGATCTAGACCTTCATTGTCTTCTTAATGTGGTTGCAAAATGTACAATGGTTATGCCCGAGACAAATAAATATGCTGCATGCATCTTTTTACTAAATTGCGTGTCTAATTTATCGGTCAGCTGTCGATTTTCTGTTCAAAGTCAGCATGTGTGTGTGAACTAAACTTGTAACGATAACATCGTCGAGTACCGTTATTTCTTAGGTGGAACAGCTGCACAGGATTTTCAAGCTATGTGGTTCTCCTTCAGAAGAATATTGGAAAAAGTCAAAGCTACCACATGCAACCATATTCAAGCCCCAGCAAGCATATAAAAGATGCATAGTAGAGACATTTAAAGATTTTCCCCAATCGTCACTTCCATTAATCGATACTCTCCTCGCAATTGATCCAGCTGAGCGTCGAACTGCTACAGCTGCACTAAAGAGTGAAGTAAGCTTTCATACTCTTCGACCGATGTAGTTTTTAAAGATTATAGTACTTCTGTATTTTTAGTACCTCTGCATCTAGTTACCGTTAGCGCCCAACCACCCTCCAAAATAAAGTAAAATAAAATGAACAATAAGGGTCCGTTTGATTGCAAATGTGAAAAATTGGTGGAAAGAAAATGTTTTACAGGGAATTGATTAGTTTAGAAAATATCTTATTGAGAATTGTAATTAATTGTGTTTGATTGATATAATTTTTCATGGAAAATGTTGAAAGTTTGGTGTCCGTTTGGCTCGTTTTTTATGGAAAAATATCAATTAAAGTGATAATATTTTCTACCATTGATTCTAGAATTTGTTCCAATTGCAAAAAAAAAATTGAAAAAAAAATAACCATACTGAATACCATTCATTTGGCTTTGTTTTGCATGGAAATTGTCAATAAAAGTGAATTTTTTTTTTACCATTGTGTCTAAAATTTTATCCAATTGCCAAAAAAAAAATCTGGAAAATATTTATCCACCAAAACATCAAGAATTTATTTTCCTCAAAAATTTGGAAATTTTGGGAAGTTGGAAAATATTTTCCCGAGAAAATTTTGCCTATCAAACACTACAAAAGTTGGAAATGGAAAATGTGAGCTATCAAATGGGGCCTAAATAAAAAAATAAGTGTGAAAGGAAAAGGAACCCTCCTTCAGGGGAACTGGCTTCTTTATTTTATATCCATGTAGACCATTTATAATTTGCTACTGTTTACAAACTTTTGAGCACTCTTCTGTCTCTCTAACTGTTTGCACTTCTGCATGAATTTGGGTAATTTTGTTCTGCCTGGTGAGCACAGCATCTCGTCACTTTCCATTCAAAGACTTTGATGGGAGACATTTTTTTCAAGGATTGTTATTATTTATCACATGCTAAAGGTTGGTCATCTCTACATATGTTTTGTTCATTCTTGCAGTTCTTCACAACCATGCCTTATGCATGTGATCCTTCCAGCCTTCCAAAGTATCCACCGAGTAAGGAGATTGATGCTAAGCGTCGGGATGAAGAAGCTAGAAGGTTTGCAAAATGACTGTATTCCTATGGTCTCATGTAACTCCATATTGATTTCTTTTCGGATAAAATTAGGACTTTGATTTCGAATACCATGAATGATATGCATGTACGATGCGCATGTGGACCATTTAATATTATAAATGAACTTTTGGTAAAAAATAATTAACAAACTAGCACAGCAATATAATTATTCAGACTGGATATTTTATGAGTAAACATGTGGTTTTTGATGTTCCTTCCATCTGGACATTTTATTTTGTACTGCCAAGAAGGCTGAGCAATTATATTTTCCCTGAAATTCTTACCCAACTTAATTGTAGGATAAGAGTTGCTGGTAAAGCCGGTGCAGATAGTGTAAAGAAAGCACGTCCACGTGATCGAGCAAGGGCAATCCCTGCTCCTGGCGCCAATGCTGAGCTGCAAACAAATATTGATGTATGTATACTATCAACCCGGAATTTTATGTGCATCTGCATGATATGGATACCAATGTGAATTTGAACTAAGACATTTTACCTCTGTGAGGTGAGCCGAATCATAAGGTGCAAGTCTCAAATAAACCAACAAAGTAATTGGAAAGAATAAAAAGATACAAAGATATGCTCATCATATGAAACCACAATCCATATTGAGGATCCATAATAAAAGAAATGAATAAACAAACATAAAAAGAGATCTGTAAAATAATAAATAATGAGTTTTCAAACTATTAATCACATGACAATCATATAAATTACCACAGATGTGGCAACTGCCTAGAAGTGTCTCGTATCTTTACTAGTATCAGGATCTTTTGGAGAATTATTAACACATTTCATTTGCTTTTCATCGTCCTCAATGTTTTTCTTCATTCTTTGTCATCCTTCTCACTTACAATGGCGCCTTCTTCTTTCCCATTTCCTTTGCCTTCCCATTCCGTGTAACGGTAGACAAGAACTGCCAAAAGTTTTAGGCTATGCAAAATAGCCCAAAAGGCTGAGGCAAGTAATAAGAAATCCTGAGGCGTAAGCATTATTAAGTCGAGGAGTAAACATTAGCAAATGACGTTCAAGGCGTAAGCTTCGAGGCTTCTCGCACTAGGCATGCCTCAATGTGTAGGACTCGGACTATGAAAATTAGTGATCGATGTAAGTGATTTTGGTTGCAACATGTTGTGGTCGTGTCACTATCTTTTCTTTTTTATCTGTATTAATTTTAGGATAATTCTACTTGTACATTATGCCATCCATAATGGATGACATAATGTACAAGTGGAATTATCCTATTGGAGGGTGTGTCGGTGGGCCAGCACACCCTCCAATAATGTACTGCCACTTGTACATTATGTCATCCATTATGGATGCCATAATATACAAGTAGCACAACCCTTAATTTTATTCTTTGAGAAATATCAAAATTCTCGATTATTCAATTGTCACAAGCATTGAAGAGTAGATATCTATTTATTTTTTGGGTTGTTCAATAGCCAGTTTATAGGTAAGCCTTACTAGATACAGTGATTTGGAAAGCTTCTCTATTTGATTCTTCATAGCTCTTGGTGGATTAGGATTACAATTTGAAGTTATGCTTCTATCATCATCTAATTTGGGAATAAAAAGAAAAACAATTCCAGGCTTTCTTTGTCTCACTAGACAAGAGCAAGAAAAGATGGAAGAAATATATTTCTAAAAATGTCTTTTAGCATTTGTGTCTTGAGATTTGAAAAGTTTTATACTAGCTATCAACTTGCGAGGACCAAAACATGAGAGTTATAGTTTTTTTTCTTTTTTTTTTTAAACTTTGAGGAATTGTTCAATTGGTCATGCCTTGAGTTTGCTCCCCAATGGTCACCAGTTCGAATCTCATCAGGGCTACTGAGGTGAGTACCGACCGTAAACTTCAGGGCCCTGTGGGATTAGTCGAGGTGCGCACAAGTTGGTCCGGACATTCACAGTTATAAAAAAAAAAAGAGTTATAGTTTGTTTTTTATAAATGTCAGAGTAACTTATGTTTATCCCTTTAAACAGAGACGACGACTAATTACGCATGCAAATGCAAAGAGCAAAAGTGAAAAATTTCCTCCTCCACACCAGGATGGAGGTCTTGGTTATCCTCTGGGATCTTCTCATCACAATGACCCGGGCTTTGATCCTCCCGATGTCCCATTCACTTCCATGAATTTGTCGTATGCAAAAGAGCCCATGCAAACTTGGTCGGGCCCATTGGTGGAACCTGATGCTTTAGGTGCTCCAAGAAGAAAGTCGAAGCCATCAAATAAGGATTCTCGAAAAGATAAAGATTCTAGTTGGAATAAGGAGAAAGAAATTGTATAATATAGCGTTAATTCTATACTTCAGCCAGATCAACACATGGAGGGAGGCGCAAACTCTTGCAAATTCATGTCTTGTATCTGAGCCGGGAAATATTATTGAATGATCGATAGGTAATTCATCTTTTCTTCAATATTCCTTGTTCTTCTTTTTTGGGGTCATATGAATATTTTCTTGAGTTGTAAATGTTTAATTTTTTTCTTCCTTGCATTGACAGCTTTCGACTTGTGAAAAATAATGGGCATTCATAAATCTTTCTTTGTTTTATTGGATTTTTGTAACTTGGATTTGTTAGGGTCTGTGTCTGTGGAACGTATATTTGGCATTCACTTCTGCTATCCATTTTTTTATCTTTGATATGAGAACTTCAGCTTCTACCCATTGTACAGTCAGGGTATGTTTTGTACGATATGCTCCGATTTTGGACGTAATATTCTGATATATAGTTACTTTGTTTAAATTCATTTTCTTTGGGCTCATTTCGCAGGATTTCTGACGTCTGTTTCTAATAGAAGAGTTTTTTGAATAAGTTGGTCTTTTAAAAGTTATTCTAATCAGAAAAAACACTTTTAGAAAATTATTTGAACCGGTTCAAAAGTAGTTTTTGACTTTTCAAAAGTCTTGCCAAATGGGCCTTGTGCACTCGGCTATTGCATCCGTTGAAGGTGCCCCAATTTGAGGTTGACTGAAGTGAGGGACAAAATGGTTGGGATATGTTGTCTGTAACGACTTTTTTACGTGTTAATAAGAGTAACGTGATATTGAAATATCAAGTTAGAAGGGGCTACGATAGATTAAAAATTGACACAATTTGTTCTACTTGTTAAGGTTTAGGTTTCGTGTCATATTTAGAAATGCATCTAATAGATTGACAAGGGTATAAAATAAAAATAAGACCAAATATAGTAATCAATTGTTGATAAAATCTACTTGTATGACTTGTGAAAGGGACAATTTTTTGTGAAACGTGTACATGTTAGACCGTATCCACCGTCACATACACATCCACCCTCATGATAAACAAACTTCTCCTTTGCTTATACATTACCACCCCACCCCCATCTTCATATAAATCTTTATACACAGCACAAGCATACCTCAAATAAGTGACTTTGAGAGGTGAATTTACATATTTTTCAGGGGAAGATGTGGATACCTAGACCACCAAATGGTCCTGATAGACCCGGACCAGGACCTGGTTGGAGTCTTGGGCCGAGTGGTTCTCCTCCTCGGCTGGGTTTTCTTTATCACTTCTGCACCATTATCTCTTCTTGGTTAGTATTTCTCCTCTTTTTCTGTTAGGTTCAATTTCAGTTTGACCAAACCCAGATGAATTTCTTTTCAATGAGTCGAGCACTGAATTTTGTGCACAAGTCGTTTGTTGGCTCGCAAGCTAGCTCCTCAAAATGAGTGAAAAATGTAATTTCAATAAAATAAAAAATTGGCCAGCCATGAACTGCTCGCGACTCAGCTATGCCTGCTTGACGTGCTTTCTAATCCAATCTGCCGGCCTTTCGTTCATTGTTCGAATTCTAAACCAGTAAAATTAGAATGAATCAACTAAATGATTGGGTCGAAATTTTTTAGACTAGACTTGATGAATATACCTTCTCTGTCGATCCATTTAACACTCATATTTCTATTATATAATTTAGGTCTAACTCTACTCTTTTTAGCATTTCGATGTAGTTAATATATTTAATTTCGAAGTAGGATTATGTCTAATTGCTTAATTTAATTATTTTCTTTTCCATGAATTTTACACGTGGACAGCTTCTATGTTTTCTGTTGTTGCTGGCTTTTAGAAGACCGTTTTGGTGGGCCACGTCGTCAACACAACCATCTTGGGCCTCCTTTGGAGTCACCTGACTATCCAGGCCCAATATTTGGTCCTGAACCTCCACTGGGCCATTTTGGCCATCCGGGCCCTATTAAATTTCCTGGTGAACCTCCATTGGGCCATGTTGGTCCATCAAATCAACCGGGCCCTGTTGGATTCCCCGGGGAACCTCCTTACTAAGCTCCCGTTTGTGTTGGTCCAGTCAAATTTCACTTTTTGTAATTATTTTTAATTAATAAAAATCCACCTAGGGCGTGGAATGTTTGACGTGGACAAGTCTTACCAGGTTATTATGAATGAGAAGTAATATCTCTCCTTCGATATAAGAAAAACGAACTAGATAATTGATTAGTTTGTAAGTAACGCTCTTGAGCATTCAAAGTTTCGATACGATTTTAGAATAACCCTCAACGTGTTGTTATTGCTTAGGTACTTATTGCTTTACACCTATAGATGGCAATAAGTAGTTCGTGTTGGGTGGAGTTTTATGATTTTGCTTATAAAGAAAAGAGACTTTAGTTTTGCAAAATAGAGAATATTTGAAAAACAAAATTCTCGAAAAGGGATTGTCTTTATATGTTGAGAAAAACTCTTTTATCTTGAACTAGATGTCTCACAAATGATATAAATATTCAAAGAAACGTGCATAGTGAAAACTAACGCCGAGTTAAAATTTTTTTGCTTAAAATACCTTGTTTTCATTAGAAATTCTTGCACACCCTTTTCATAATTCAGTGATTTTTTCAGGAACCAATCCTAACAGTATACAACCCAGAGCCCATTTATGGACATAAACACCATTTTAGCCACTCCTATCATTAGGAAAGAAAGAAGAGTGCAAAAACGATGGTTAAGTCTGTCAGACAACCGCCTGACCATCCCAGCCGAGTATACTGGCTAGGAACGATCCTCTACTGCACTGATGACCCCAAACTGGAGCCATAGAGCTGTTAATCACGCTCTGATCAGGCGGGCATGTGTCATCCATCAGACTTTGTTTCCTGTCTCCTTAGAACTCAAGGATACAGAGGTACGAGCCTATAGAACAGATCCTGTTCAAGTAAGGTCGTGAACGTTTAAATCCCAATTCTGCTATTTAACTAGGTTATTTTCTGGCTGAACTTTCGATGTGGGATTATGTACACGTTTGAATTGCCAAAAAAAAAAAAAACTTGCTCAAGAAATCTTCCTTTCCTTCTTTGCAATGGCTTGCTCCACTATTGCCTTTTCATCTGTATTCAGTATTCAATCCCATATTTTCTTGATAATTCTTCAATCAAGAAATCTATTTTGCTGTTCTACACGCAGTGCTTGCGATATCATAATTCATAATTATCACTATTTTAGATCCCCAGTTGTTTTCTTTATTATCCAATCTAAATTCTTGCAAAATCCTTCAAGTTCTGAAGCATGGCTTGAGTTCCCCCTTACAATTGTTTCAAAGTCGATATCTTTATATGTTGAACTGAATGCTGTTGATAGCTCTGTTTCTGTACTTGGAATGAATCCAATGCTTTTGTTTGGAATTCAGTCATCAGAGCACATGTTAATGCGGGTTTTGTTCGATCAGCGTTTTGTATTTATAAGTTAATTAGAGAAAAGGGCGTTTCTTATTGATAGTTATACACTTCCAATATTGAATGGTTTGGTTGTGTTTCTTGAAAGTGGCAAAAGATTTGCTGATAAGATTCATTATGTGGCTGTCGAAATGGGTTTTGAATCTGATGTTTCTTTTTCCAATACAATGATTGAGGCTTATAAAAACAGTGGATATTTTGAAAGTGCTAGAAAGGTGTTTGGCGAAATGCCTTACAGGGACTCGGTGTCTTAGACATCGACGATTTTGGGGTATGTTGGTGAAAGGAATGTTGGCGGTGCTTCTTGATCGTTTAATTGATCAAAAGCGTTCTCGACGGGAGACAATTTCGTGGTTTCTTGATTGATCAATCGGTGAAAAATTCAATCTTGGAAATATAAACCGACGTTGGTTGTGCTGATGATGCAGACATTCTTTTCGAAGAAATTGATAAACTAGATGTTGTTTCTTGGAATATAATGATATCCTTGCTTGTTTCCATAAAATTTTGAACCATCCTTTGCTTATACATTACCACCCCATCCCCATCTTCATATAAATCTTTATACACAGCACAAGCATACCTCAAATAAGTGACTTTGAGAGGAGAATTTACATATTTGTCAGGGGAAGATGTGGATACCTAGACCACCAAATGGTCCTGATAGACCCGGACCAGGACCTGGTTGGAGTCTTGGGCCGAGTGGTTCTCCTCCTCGGTTGGGTTTTCTTTCTCACTTTTGCACCATCATCTCTTCTTGGTTAGTATTTCTCCTCTTTTTCTGTTAGGTTCAATTTCAGTTTGACCAAACCCAGATGAATTTCTTTTCAATGAGTCGAGCACTGAATTTTGCGCACAAGTCGTTTGTTGGCTTTCAAGCTAGCTCCTCAAAAAATGTAATTTCAATAACATAAAAAAATAAAAAATTGGCCAGCCATGAACTGCTCGCGACTCAGCTATGCCTGCTTGACGTGCTTTCTAGTCCAATCTGCCGGCCGTTCGTTCATTGTTCGAATTCTAAACCAGTAAAATTAGAATGAATCAGCTAAATGATTGGGTCGCAATTTTTTAGACTAGACTTGATGAATACCTTCTCTGTGGATCCATTTAACACTCATATTTCTATTATATAATTTAGGTCTAACTCTACTCTTTTTAGCATTTCGATGTAGTTCATAATTTAAATATATTTAATTTCTAAGTAGGATTATATCTAATTTGCTTAATTTAATTATTTACTTATTTTCTTTTCCATGCATTTTACACGTGGACAGCTTCTATGTTTTCTGTTGTTGCTGGCTTTTAGAAGACCGTTTTGGTGGGCCACCTCGTCAACACAACCATTTTGGGCCTCCTTTCGAGTCACCTGACTATCCAGGCCCAATGTTTGGTCCTGAACCTCCACTGGGCCATTTTGGCCATCCGGGCCCTATTAAATTTCCTGGTGAACCTCCATTGGGCCATGTTGGCCCATCAAATCAACCGGGCCCTGTTGGATTCCCCGGGGAACCTCCTTACTAAGCTCCCGTTTGTGTTGGTCCAGTCAAATTTCACTTTTGTAATTATTTTTAATTAATAAAAATCCACCTAGGGCGTGGAATGTTTGACGTGGACAAGTCTTACCAGGTTATTATGAATGAGAAGTAATATCTCTCCTTCAATATAAGAAAAACGAACTAGATAATTGATTAGTTTGTAAGTAACGCTCTTGAGCATTCAAAGTTTCGATACGATTTTAGAATAACCCTCAACGTGTTGTTATTACTTAGGTACTTATTGCTTTACACCTATAGATGGCAATAAGTAGTTCGTGTTGGGTGGAGTTTTCTGATTTTGCTTATAAAGAAAAGAGACTTTAGTTTTGCAAAATAGAGAATATTTGAAAAACAAAATTCTTGGAAAGGGATTGTCTTTATATGTTGAGAAAAACTCTTTTATCTTGAACTAGATGTCTCACAAATGATATAAATATTCAAAGAAACGTGCATAGTGAAAACTAACGTCGAGATAAAACTCTTTTTGCGTAAAATACCTTGCTTTCATTAGAAATTCTTGCACACCCTTTTCATAATTCAGTGATTTTTTCCGGAACCAATCCTAACGGTATACAACCCGGAGCCCATTTATGGACATAAACACCATTTTAGGCACTCCTATCATTAGGAAAGAAAGAAGAGTGCAAAAAAAGATGGTTAAGTCTGTCAGACAACCGCCTGACCATCCCAGCCGAGTATACTGGCTAGGAACGATCCTCTACTGCACTGATGACCCCATACTAGAGCCATAGAGCTGTTAATCACGCTCTGATCAGGCGGGCATGTGTCATCCATCAGACTTGGTTTCCTATCTCCTTAGAACTCAAGGATACAGA